AACTTCTGTGCACCCACGAGGAGCCATCACATCTATCTAATGGCTGGAATGGTCCCCACAGAGGTTGCTTTCGCGCACGCGCATGCAAACGTTTGTTCACGCGCAATTTGATCTTTTCCTGGTTGTAGTTTATAAACACCGTAAGACGTTGACGTTTATCTATCACAATACATAGCTGAATTTCACCCTCACTTTTGTCACGGCACAGAGTCAGAGAACACACTGCTGTGAAACTGGCTGACAAGCAAGACACAGACAGAGATACACGGCTAGGTTAGCAAGACAGGTACACTAGCCAGAGATGTACTCTAAGCTAGCACATCAACTTAACATTACTGTTGTTTACTGACATCGAACTTGGAGATAAGAGGACACTTTTACCTTATTGATGTTCCAATCATTCACGCTCATGATGTTTTTCCCTCCCTCTATCTCTCTCTCTCTCTATTTTCCTGACCATTAGGATAGTTACGTTTCATCCTTGCGTCAAAGTTGTAAACATTGGCACCCGCTGTGATACGAGGTAGAGGCCAGGCCCTTGCGTAATTTGCGGGACCCTACGTAACTTGCGTAGTGAGCGTACACCTGCTGTGGACTCACCCCTGTACTTTCATAAACCTTTTTTTTTTTGGCATGATCACATAGCTTACTGGAAAGACAAACACAAATCTTTAATGTTACAAAAACTTTAAAAAGGAAAAGGGCTGTGAAGTGATCCCTTAATAACTATAACTGATGTCAGTATGTAAACTGACATCACTGTTTAATTTAAAATGGGGAATACAGTGGGACTTTTATCTTATCCTTATCCTACATAAATGTCAGAGAAAGATGTAGAGAATATCATATGGCGATCTTTCAATTAATCCATTTACATTTGACTATTTGAGATGACACACAAATCCCAAAGGTCTGTCTGTAAATCACAGTTTAGTTATCGTGTCCTGCATGCACTCATGCTCCTGCAGTGGGGCCTCCCCAACTTCCTACTTCCTCTTTTGATGACAGAGTGACATTTATGACATCCAATCAGAGAGCTGCTGATGGCAAAGTACAGCTTCATGCCCTATTTCTGTTTCTTTCAGTCAGCCACCTAGTAACCTCCCATCTATTCAGGAGTTGTTTATGTCTTTGCAATGGTGCAAAACACTCTTGTCCTGACATTTGGCTCAGGACTTCCTGTGTGAGTTCAGGCTCACATCCTCTTTAAACCGTATCAGTCACATTCACTTTGATAAAATGTGTGTGAGAGAGAGAGAGAGAGTGAGAATGAGAGAGAGAGAAAGAGAGAGAGACAGGCATGAAAAGAAAATAAGATGCTTCATGGACGTCAGACCACAATGGAAAAGTTGTAAAGTCTAGTCTAGATACCTGCAGTTATATCAGTCAGACGAACTGCAAATTTAAGTAGGAAGGGGAGCAATCTGAAAAATCTTGTCAACAACATGGACAAACTGCATCTGAAAAGAAAAACAATAGTCCCAATCAATGCATGAAATTAGCATCATAAAACATAAAGCCTGTGTCCTAGAGCAATAAGAGAAAAATGAAATGTTCAATTCATCTTCATCTGGTTTACATTTCTACAAAACCACAGCCTACACTGTCTGTTGAACGTGGTATTTTCCATCTCCTTTATGTTTTGAAAAGCTTGTGGCTTTTATCTTTGACAGGCCCAATATATTCCACTACACACAGTTCAAAAGACACAAAGCTCTTCTAAAGCCAACGTGTGACAATGAATGGGTCTTTAAATTCAAATAGAGTTTCCATTACTCTGCCCGTGACCTGTAACTGATAACTACCTAGCAGAAGTCAGCTGGCCACACCTGCCCATACTGTCGCTGCGACATCAGAGGAACAGAGTCCGTAGTCATCGAGCCCTTCCTGGCAGGCAGCGGTCACTGGGAGGAGGAGGACGATGACACAGAGGAGGAGGACCATGAGGACATTGAACTCATGGTAAAGGAAATGGCTGCCCTGAGGAAGGTGTGTGAATATATTGCTGTGTATGCCCTTTTGTTTTATTCAGTTTTAGCTCGAATGGCTGTAGAATCTTAGTGTTGTTTCCATGTGTTTATCTCTTTCTGCAACATTTCCAGTTCAGTCCATTTAGCAGGACTTGTAGCTTAAAATTTGGCATCTTGTTTGGAACATGCATCCTCATTCAACCTCCTCGTCTCCTTCTGTTTCCTCCAAGTCATGTTCTGCAATGAAGAAATTAAAGTAAAAAATAAAAATCCCCATTGGCTGCCTGTAACACTTTGTCTCTCCTATACCAACAGTTCTCAAGTTTGGATTACCAGGTGCCCAGCTCCCACCTCTGCGTTCCACCTCTGCCACCTAAAAACAGCACAATCCCACACTCTTCATTTCCCCCTAACCAGTCCTTGACATTAGAAACCAAGATGCCTGCCAAACACTCCCACTCCGGTTCAGTAAGTTGCACAGACACTCAAGCTGTTGCTTGCATATTGTTGCTGTGTTCCATCTTGGCAGTTTGATGATAGTGATCACTTTCTCCAGTCCCCACAGACACTAAACTCAGTGAAATGTTAACTCATGCACAATCCTGCAGAGATTCACCGACTGTAGCGTGACTACGCGTAGTAGCTGGTGCTCTGTGACACTCTGTTTCCTCCCTTCAGCAGGCTCACCGTGTCAGTGAAACACGCAGACGACACAAACAACAAACAAAGATAAATAGGTGAGACACTGCTGTTGTTGTATACACGTATTGAGAGGTTTAAATGTGGGCCTGCCACTGAAACTCTACAGTCACCTCTTGCTACTGAGATGAGGATCTAGACATTTTAACTTTATTTATAGTCAAAATGTAAAATGAGTTACTAATGTCTATAGAGGAACCAAGAGAGGACACTTCCATCAGGTTGCACTTGTATGGTATGTCTTTGTTTTAATTTATGAATTTGTCTATACAATAAGAATAATAAAAAAAGGATTCACAAAAGTAACCTGGCATTTAACTGTGAACTGTGCTGCTAACTTCAAGATTCATATTATTCTTACCAGCTGCTGTGCCTTGAAAAATAAAATAAGGTAGACAAAAGTTCAAGTGTTAATGTTGTTGTTTAGTGGGTGATTTCTGTTTATTGTTGGCTTTTAAGAGGATCCCCCATTAGTTTCACCGAGACGGTTGCTAGACACACATTAAAGAAAAACATAATATGGGGAATATAAAATGCGCTGTATCCTTTCCATTAGGCGTCAGGGGGAGGAGCCACACAACAGTGAGGAGGATGACTCTGGTATGCCACACTCATTGTCCCACAGGTGATTGACAGCTGTCTCCATCTCACGGCAATAAACCAGCATTTTCCATCTGAGCCCGCATGTTTATGATCATCAGTAAAGGCTACCATGCCTCAGTCGTACAGTGGGAACTTGATTCAGTTGTTTATGTCTAGCAGCTAATTCACCCGTTGGCTTGTGTTGTTTTGTGTCAAACAGTGCTGAATACCTCTGCGAAGCAACGTTTCCTTCTTCATCACAGAGGGCTGTTGACAGTAAGTTATGGCATGTTATAATGTTATATATCCTGAACTGTGCAGATGCAGTGTTGAAACTACACTGAAGGGAGATTATTCTACAACATGCAGTTGTAGTTTTCCAAGTACTTTCACCATACTGGGAAAACTAGTAAAAATGGGAGTCCAGTTAAATACTACATTGTTTTTCCATTAGGATTCATTATACAAATATGAGTTTTTGGGCACAAGAGACACAAGACTCTCCCGCTGTACTGATAGTGAAAAAGATTCTTCATCTCTTTGATTTGACTGATGTGTTAGCTTAGTGTGCATTACTGAAAGTGTGCATTACTTCTTGTACTTTGTCATTATGTTTTCTAAGTTAATCTTGCTAACCGGAATTCTAATACCCTTAGTACCATCTTGTTCTTGTTTTTAGTGTTCCAGAGTGAATCAGATTCATAGACTTTTTTCACAGCAGGCATTTTGAAATGTCATAACAGAAAAGCACGGGTGGAACCATTAACACAAATGATGACTCAATTCCAGTAATTATTGCATTGCAGTGCAAAACAGATAATAATGATATTAGTGGGTGCTAGTCAACTAAACTAGTAAAATTACTACTCATAATCTCATTGATAACTGTCAATCAACTACAATTCATTCTATCACAGTAGGTGTGCTATCTCCTTGGACTTTTAGGCTTCTAGTATGGACTGAACATTTTAGAATGACATGTTTTTGTGTTTGTGTGTAGGTGGAGCAGCCTGGCTCGGACCCTCCCACCCAGTCAAAGATAGAAGACATAAAGAGAGGGAGGAAAGGAGAGCTGGTCCCAGAAAAGACAAATATGGCCTTGGTGACATGACGAGAACAATGTCATCCTGACAAATAAAAAAAAAACTCGGTAAAACAAAGACTCTTTAAATGAAATGAGAGATATCTGGGGACTAAAGCCTTCAGGATATGTAAAAATAGTTTTTGGTGTCATGTTTGACTGGAAATGACCATGTGTGTCTGTTGCACTGCTGAAGTCGAGATGTGTGGGTGGAACTGACAGAAAATCTACCCACTGAGGCCTCCTACTGTTCAATAATCACACTGCCATTATCTCCACAGTAGGTTCAGCACTGATTCCTAAATGTAGTCTCACACACTGTCTTTTTGATAATTAAAGCATTTTCTCCATCCAATGATAGAAACGAATGAAAGGCTTGATAATTGAAAATATAATTATGTGGACAAATGAAGGGGAGCAATCAAATATTGAACATTTCAATCATTAGAAATGTGCTATGTCCTCATTTACCCATACCATAAGTTTGTTCTTGTGGGTAAGTTGTGTGAGTAAATGAAGGCCTCTACATATTTCAATAAAACTCAAGTGGTACTAAAATTAAACAAATAAACTTGTGACTGAAACTTGATTTTCTACATAGTTTCATTTGGTGTTTTTTTTTCTCCTATTATGGACATGGAAATATGAACAGACAAATGACAAGTGAATACATACCAAATGGCTTTATTGTGTTTTCTATGTTCTGGACATATTTGTTGAGTCTGGGTGTGTGAAGGAGAGAACTTCAAAGGAGACAAGGCACCAGAGAAAGACAGAAAAATAAAAGTTGGGGCAGAAAATAGGGATGAATGGTAACATACAGGGCAGGGAAAAGAGGAAAGCAAATAAAAGAAGTGAGGAGGGAAAACCAGTGATGTCTTCAGGGGTTGGCTGCCATGACGTGTTGAATCCAGTAGAGGAACTCACACACTTTGACGTAGACGCCAGGGTAGTTAGGCTGGGCACATCCCATACCCCATGACACCAGGCCATGGACTTCTCCATGACACACCAGAGGGCTGCCAGAGTCGCCCTGATAAACACGGTGTAGGTAGACAGTGATTAATTCTCCTGCACATACAGAGCTTTGAGCCCAGTAAACCCTTGGAAACATTAACTATAAAACTCACATTGCACGCATCTCTGCCTCCATCCATGTATCCAGCACACATCATCCTGGGTGAGATCATGCCAGGATAGGCATTCGCACAGGCCTGTTCGTCAACTATGGGCACGTCCAAACACTGCAGGCGGTAGGGCAAGAACACTGCAACAGGCAGAACACAGACATATTTTACAAGATGAGGCTGAAAATATTCAACATTTTTTAATTTGTCAACAAATCCCATGAAATATATACTTTAGCTTTTTCTTACAACAAATAAGCACTGTAGTTTTTCACAAAAGTTACTTCAACAGTTGTTAATGATGTCTTTGTTTGGGACTTTTTTCAGCTGCAGATTGGGTGTAGGAGTGTGTACTTACAGCAGCAGGAAAGTGTATGCACAACTGACTCAAAATAAAACACACTGCCTGTGTTCAGTGTAATTATGTGCAGTGGTGTGGCTCAGTTCTGGGCTTTTGACAGTCTTTGGGAAACAACTGAGGTCTCCTGCAGAGCTTGATCTACACAGACATTGACAGTGCATATTACAAAGATCAATTAAATGCTGGTTTTGGTATTTTCATTAGATTTGTTGACAATAAGAAAAGTATTGAATACCACCTAATTTCTGTTTTAAAGCAGCTATGTGTAGAATTTGAAAATGTATAACTTTGGTGCCCACAAGTGGTATTGTTAAAAACGACACTGTGGCAGGCAGCAATACATGTTGCCATTCCCTCACAAATTGTCCAATACTCTACTTAAATAATAGTAATGCCATAAAGGAAAAATGCTCCATTGTAAGTCCTGCATTCAGAAACTTACTCAAGTAAAAGTAGCAGTTCTATCAGCTTAATGTATTTACAGGGGCTATTGTTAAGTTTTCTCTGCTACTGAACATGGTTTCTTACCTGTGATTGTGGCTTCACGAGAGCTTCAGCCATCATGGTCTTTATAATACAAGAGGCTATGATACACACTGTGAGCAGCACTATGTTTTCAGGGCAGATTGAAGTCTACAGTGACTCGCTATCAGAAAGTGACGAGACTAGCTGAGCCGTGCTGGTAAGCATGCTAACTTCAGAGGAAGAGAAGATGTGACAGAAACGAGAGTTAACACTGACGTTGCTTTCTACCACTGGAGAAAGGAAAGGAAATAAGTTTGATGCTGAACTCGTAACCTTTCTCCTAGATTGGTAAGTAAACAGGTGTTACTGTTGATGTTGGCTATGTAGCGATTGCAAAACTTACAACTCCTTACTTGCTCCTTTTGATAAAGCAACTATATGTAGAATTATCACGCTGTCAGACCACCTTTCAAATGACTGTGATGGCATAATAAGACGATCTGAGTGAAAACTAGTGCAGTCTATGTTACCTTCAACCCATTCATTCAGTCACCAGGTCAAATTTGCAGTCAGGGTATAATATATGTTGCATCATTATAGATTAGACCACCCAAAAGGAGAAATGAGTTTGCGAAATTAAGTCCACCTAGACAAACTACAATAGTCAAATTCTAGTTATACATTAATATATCAATATATTAATCCTATACTAAAATACATACAGTAATAATATTACAGGGGCAATTTTTCTGAATTATAAGTATGGTTAATTTCAATACCTAAAGCATATTGTGAGCCGTATTCATATGCATTTTCGCTGTAGCTGTTGTGTAATTAAAATCACTAAATCAATATTAAAAACCCACCTTCATCACCCATGGCAGTGTTTCCCCAGCCAGACACAGAACAGGGGAGCCCCGCAACTGGGCACACTGTGGGCAATTGGACGGGTGCGACCGCCTCAGTCACCTCCACAGGGTGGTAGAGCTTGATCAGCATGATGTCATAATCCAGAGTCTGGTAGTCATAACTGTATAAAATATACATATTATAATTTAAAAATGTATTAAAATATCATTCAATCGTGCAAATGGAAAAAGATTCTCAGACAGGGTGGTTCATTTTTTCACTCACCTAGGGTGCCAGATGATGGTGTCGGTCTTCATGAGCTGCTCAGTACCCTCAAACACTCGCACATCGTGTTCTCCCAGCATGATCTGCATAGCATAGGGACTAAGACAAGAGGTGAAATATACCAGAAAAAAGGTAGCAGAAACATCTCTCAGTATTATACTTGTTCATTATAATTCTACATCAGTTTAAATCTTCCTCTTTCTCTATTTTGCAAATATGGATTTAGATTTAACAGACGTACTTCAAATTGAAAAGCACTTGTCTTCCAACTATGGGTGTTTTTGTTTTTATCTCAAAGGGAATAAAATGCACAAAAATCAAGCAAAACAAGTGGTAAAAAACTAAAAGAGCAAGAGAATATAATACATATAATAATATATAATTCTCCATCAATGTAGAGCTACTTACTTGTACCAACAGTGGGCAACAGAGAGCACCCACTGCCTGTTGATGAGCACCCCACCACAGAAGTGGTAGCCATAGTTGAGGGAGGCCATGTATGGACGAGAGTGAGGCTCACAGTCCCGCCCGCCAATGATCCGTCCATCCTCACGGGGAACTGCCACTGTCACACACACACACACACACACACACACACACACACACACACACACACACACACACACACACACAAGCATAGGAAGAGATAGAGAGCAACAGAAAGAGTCTTCATCCGCAACTTGCCATCATCTTTTTGAAATCTTGAGTAAGTATGTACACATATGTCAATTTGTATGTATCTTTGTCAATGTGGGTATTTCTGTGTGTTTACCAGCAGCTCCAACCATCAGCAGCAGAGCCAGCAGTCTCATTGTGTCTGGTGAATGATCAGAAGACACCTGGACACAACCCAGCTCATATTTATACCCCACCAGCCCCAATGCACTCAACCTGCCACCTGCTGACCCCATCTGTGTCCTCACACACTGTTCTTACCTCTTGGCACTAAGCATCAGCCCAAATCTATTATCTTATCATGCTCCTATTTTCTTGTTTGCCCACTTCTGCCCTGTTGTTGGCAAGCCACAATATACAAATAGTGAACAGTTATACAACCAACTTTTAGACATGAGACCATATGCAAAAAAAAAAAAAAGATAAGTGAATGTGCTGTTGTATGGCTCCACTTTGAAACGTCCTTGAATAAAAGCCAGTGAAGGTGAGAAACAACTCATCTGTGGTCTCAGAAGCACCAAAGTAAACTAACAACTGTGTGCTGTTGTTTCTTTTTCCACGACAGACAGCTGTCACAAGCCTTTGAGCCAATATGTGCAGTTGAGGCCAATCTGTTATTATAGCTACAAATCCAAATTTAAAAAAAGAGTAGACACATTTATTTAAGTGGTACATGCTGGAAATCTAAAAAATGATCCTATGTAAAACAACAGAGTGAACAAAAAACTCTTGAAGGCCACAAATACGTTAGACGTTGCTCATTTATGGGATGACCGTTGCATATGAAAAGATAAGACTATTTTTCAGGACAGAGATAAAAGCTGGAGGAGTGATTCAGAGATTCAGGTGGATGGGAGGAACTGGGTGGAGGAATGGAGGTGAGGAGAGGTGAAGGGAAGGAAGGTGGTGGGGGTGGTGGTGCATGGAAAGACACAGAGGGCTTAAGGTATAAAGGCAGTGAGTTACAGACCATTCACGTCCAGTCTGGTTGTAGAAAGGCTCGAGTCAGCCACATGATGATTGGCCTGATTGTTCTCGCACTCGTGGGCGCTGCAGGTAAAGCACATCTGGTGTATGGATGTACAAAGGTTTTAGAAAAAAAACAAAGTATTGTAACTCTGATAAATATGAAGCATTTTTATATTGTCTTAACACCACAGCTGCAGCCCCAGTGGATGACAGGATTGTAGGTGGCTACCGGTGTGAAGCCCACTCCAAACCCTGGCAGGTGTCTCTCAATATTGGCTACCATTTCTGTGGCGGCTCCCTCATCAACGACCAGTGGATCATCTCTGCTGCTCACTGCTGGCAAAAGTTTGTATTAAATTCAAATATTCAGATGCTTCTGTATGAACGTTTATGGCCAACATCATTACAATCATTTTCTTCTTTGCCTCTACTTCAGCCCCTTTGCTCAGATTGCAGTCTTGGGTGACAACCACATCTGGATGCACGAGGGCACAGAGCAGTATATGCCACTGGATGCCATCTACTGGCACCAGAGTTACGACTACCAGACCATGGACTATGACATCATGCTGATGCATTTGGCACACCCCGTCACCGTGAACCAATATGTCAAGCCTATCGCCCTGCCCACAGCCTGCCCCTCACCCGGGGACATGTGCACGGTGTCCGGATGGGGAAACATCTACTCCGATCAAGGTGAGCTGCACCTGATCTTGACTGTGAGAGTCATGAAAACCTTTCACTCATGATAACAGAATATTTATTCAGCTGTGATTCTGTTGTTTCCTGGTGTTTTGTTGTTGAGGAAGTTGTTGAGGAAACAAAATGTGACAATTGAAAAACATCAATTTCCTGAAACACAATGTTTTTGTGGATATGGACCAAACAAACAAAGACCTTCTCTATTACTGTCACAAAAAAAATCACACTTTTATGAACCATTTACCTTTAGGAGAAAGAGTGGTGGTGCAATTGCACTGTGGAAACACTGTATGATCACCATACAAGATGTGCTGAGATCTCAGTGGCTTAAGATTGTGTAAAAAGCCCCGAAATTTAAGTTTAGTGTAAAGCATGGATGCAAGACACAAACATTCATACAGTATTTTCAGTCTATTCTTTGAAGGGAAGCTTGACAGTTATATGTTTTTTTTTCTAATGTTGTGGAAAATGATCAGTCCATGTCATGATTTTCCAAACTGAAAGCCCCCTTCCTTATTAAACCTGAGTTTAATACCTGAGTGTCTGTACAAGCCTGATTTTGTGACATCACAACTACTTTGTAGCCACTCATTGGTTCAATTAGCAACTTATACAATGTGATTTGGACATTTGAAGCCTCAAGTGCAAATACACTGAGAAGTAGAAGTGGAAGTTTCAGTGAAGTAGAAGATAGTTCAACTTTTTAAATTAAAAATATTTGCATATTCATAGATTATGTATTTTTCTAGGAGGGAGAAGGGGCAAATGTAATTTTAAGACTTTTTAACCAGATTACTGAGCTGTTTCGTGTGGAAAAAAACATATTAAATGCAAATTGTAGTTCACAGCAAAGTATTTTTATTTGTCTTTGAAATGTCTGGAGGAGATTTTTAATTTTAATTTAAGCTCACATTTGTTTGATGAATGAATTTTCACACACCAACAGATTTCTAGGACCCTTTTAAAAACCAATATCGCATCTATTTAATTTGATAAACCTATTACGGTTGCCATACTGTAACCAAACAGCTTTCGTAGCCCGGCTCCTTAAAAGTTGACATTTTGAAGCTAGCCACAGGGATCGTATATTCTGTGGTGATGCTGCCCACCCAAAATTACTGATCCAACTATTTAGTTTTATTTTTCTTTCTCTCTCTTATCTGCAGTGTTCAATCCATTTTACCTCCAGTGTGTGGAAGTCCCCATTGTGTCTAAAAAGGACTGTGATGCCTCCTACCCTGGCATGATCACTGACCGCATGGTGTGCGCTGGATACGTGGAGGGAGGCAAGGATGCTTGTCAGGTATCTTCATACAATTACATAGCACATTAATTAAGGCTTGGCGTTCTGTGAACATATAGAGTAAAACTTTATGGAGTGTGATGCTGAGATGGTGGAAGGAGTAAACTCTCTTCTCTCCCCTGCTCAGGGTGACTCTGGTGGTCCTCTGGTGTGTAACGGGGAGCTGCAGGGTGTCGTCTCTTGGGGTCAGGGCTGCGCTCTGCCTAACTTCCCCGGCGTTTACACCAAGGTCTGCTCTCTGATGCCCTGGATCAACGACATTCTCTCCACCTACAGCTAGGCTGTGATCTCCTGTCACAGAACTACATGAAAGAGGGTGGAACCAGAGAGAGATCGAAATTGAAGGAGACAGAGACAGGATGTAGTGGTGGGTAGTGTCAGAGAGAAAAGCAGCAGGAGAGCGGTTGAGAGAGAGAAAATGAGATGTGTTTAGCAAGGGCACAGCCAATAAAATCTTCCACTTTGTGATGCATCAGTGTCTTTATGATTGTTGACAATACTGTTACTGCTCTTGGGCAACTGTGTTACTGTAAGACATTTCTGAGTACTCTATTTCAAATCAGTGGTGAGGGTTTCACCAAAGCAAATATAAACCAGAGTCAAACAATAACAGCTAACGTCAGCTCACTGTAAAAATTCACAGAACAGCATTAGCTTGTGAGCAAATCTAAAATATTGTGTGTGAATTATTTTTTCATGGGACCTACATCACTGCACAATCACTCTATAGAATTTCCATCAAAATAAGACACAAACTAACTTCTTTAATCTGTTAATGCGTGCACAACAGTGGTCTTTAGTATTCTAATGCTGCACAAAAAGTGTTGATAAGGTTTTGTCTCCCTTTTTGGTTTTGTTGGAGCACATGAACACTGCCCTCATTTTGATTTTCTGTCTCCCGAATGCTGAGTGTCTTAGACATGTGGAAAGAAAGGGCACAGACGTCGCAACTCCCCATTTATCAATGTCAGAGCACTGCAAGAGTTTGAAATGGAGTCATGCTTACACTGAAATTTGTTCAAATGTGTTCCATTCAGAATTGAGATGTTGGCCTCGAGTCCTTTAACAAAAAGAGAAACTCAAAGAGAAGAACCACAGTTTATTCTCTTCTTATGCAGAGAATGGTCTTTTTTTTTTTAACCATAATCTGTTTTATCCGTGTTTAGTGGTTCAGAAGTCATGTAGCTGAAGATGACACACACTCTCCTCCTTCAAACTCCTTTATACAATGTTTTTCAGAAAATCCATGTGATTTTTGACAATAGTTTTAGTCTATAACAATGAACATGCTTTAAAAGGCCAATGCTAATTTAAGTAGATTTCCTATGTGAACAAAAGTGAGTTCATGCCTGGAAGGTAGCATGCTAATTGCTAATTTTTGAATTTAGAGGATGCTGGTACATTGTTGGCTCATGGATCTTGCACACCAGTAAATGGTGCCCCCCCCCATGAAGGTTCAGTTCAATCGTGGACTCCCTAAATCCTGATTTGGTTTAGAGCAATATCCAATCTGAAACAGACACAATGTTTGATGTTTGAAGGGATTAATTCTGCGATGTTCCTGAAACCTCGGTGCTCAAGAATGAAAAACCGGGGAACTGATGCAATTCAAGCTTGAAGTCTGTCACATCTTTTGACGGATCACCTGACAGCGGCAATCAGAAGAAAAGAAAACATGCATTCTGGCTGTCAGACTGCTGTCACAATGTCACAGATATTATGATGCTCAAAAACACCGCAATTACTCTCAGTTTTCAACAAGAAAAGAAATGTCATGCTCACCACAACTGCCTTGTTTTCTTGTCCATGAAAGGTTAGTTGAAGCTGCTGGTTGAGGATCAGCCCTCAGCAGTCAGTTATGCTGAAATGATGGCACATATCTTGTTTGACACTTTTGCAGCAAGCAATAGACTGCCTGAAATCAATCGCCTGGCAGTTGCACCGAAATATCTCCCATCTGCTCTCCACAGTCAGAGAGGATTGCAAAGCACCTGCTGCTCTGTCCAAGAATACGGCCTCTCCCTCGTCATCATTATCCCTGTGACACAAGATACAGAAAGATGATGAAATGGAATATGACAGCAAGACAGATTAGAAAATGAACGACAAAATGTAAAATTTAAAGTCCCCTTTAAAGATTATTTTGCATATGCATTTATAATTAATTTATTCATAATTCAAATGAAGGGGAATGAAATTGAATTATTAATTGGGAACAACCACAGCAGACATCCATCTTCTAATGAGTTATGAGACTTCGAGTGCTATATAATGTAGAGGTATACCTGCAGAAAGTCCACAGGAGCCTCAGGCTACATGACAAATCCATTTAAATGCTGGTAAAGAAGGTTAAAATCTTAATTTGAATGAAACAGAGAAATAACTCATCAAATGCTGCAGTAGACAGGGCATTAATAGAATCTAAACATATTATAGGAGGCACGGTTGCTTTGAAAATGTTGCAGCAATGGGGGCAGCATTTTCCACAAACATCAAACGCGGGATCTTAAAAAGATCAAACAAGGATTCAAATTTAATTATCATTTCTTAAATAAAATGTGAGCCAGGTTTACAAAATCAGCTGTGGATGCTAGGACTGGTCAGAGGCAAGAACAGTTACAGTGTTGTATGTTGTGGATATTAAAGTGTACTGATACTTTAGTTTGCAATAGTAAGTAGGCAGGGTTTGTTATTTTACCCTTTTATCCACTTTATTTATCTAATAACAAAAATAAAAAATGTAGAAAATTCTTTCTGGATTTAATTTTTAATTCTTGAATTGAATTGTGGAGTTATATAATAATTGTCAATAATGAATGAAAAAGACAAAGTGTTAGGACACTTAACAACACCAGGTAATGATGAGTAAATCCCCTATACATTAATAATTTTGCCAATATTAGAAAGTCTTTCATTGTTTCAAAGGAGTCGTCAGTATGTGTTTGAATTTTCTTTGGTGGGCCTGCGTAATAATTAATAATTAGATTTTATGAAGCTTATAATAAACAACCAAGTTTTATGAATAGTACTAATTATTGCACATAAAAATAGATTCAAAGAATCAGCTTAAAAATTGTTTATTTGTCATATCGTTCAGTACAAAAGATGGAACGTAAACAGCAAATGATGTTGAGTTGCTGGACTGAACTTGTTTGCTTGGATCACTTAGTAGCTGGCCATGGTGTTCTCCAGCCATTCGTTGAAGATGCAGACCTAAAAGTGAAAAAGACTAGAGTTAGATCAGCTAATCAGTGTGTGACTGCAGTTCAGACAGCCTGAGCAAAGATAAAGTGAACACAGTGTGTTGATTAAATATCTTTCTCCCTTGAATGTTACCTTGGCGTAAACACCAGGGTGGTTCTTCTCAGCACATCCGTAGCCCCAGGACACAACACCCTGCAGCTCACCGTTGCACACGACGGGGCCACCAGAGTCACCCTGAGAGGGGGATGGAGTGTAAAATTACTCAGAAAGATTCAATTAAACGCAACAAGTCATACCAAGCCTTTCATAAAGGAGTTGCTGTATTCCTGCTTGAATACTGAGGTACATACCTGGCAAGAGTCCTTGCCGCCCTCCAGGTATCCAGCGCAGAACATGGCCTGGGTGATCATGCCAGGGTATGAGTTCTTGCAGTCCTTCTCGGACAGGATGGGGAGGTCCAGGCACTGCAGCTTGTTCCTGTCAGCAGCTAAAAGTATGGGTGAAAAAGGTTTCAAATAACACAAATGAAAAAAAAACATGTAGCCCTAGCAGTTAAAATGCAGGTGTAACTTACAGGAGCTCATGGTGTTGCCCCAGCCAGAGACTGTGCACATGGTGCCAGCGGGGGCACAGCTGGTGGGCAGAGCCACAGGCTGCACATACTGGTTGAGGGTGGCGGGCTTGCTCAGTTTGATCAGCATGATGTCATTGTTGATGTTGTAGGAGCTGTAGTTGGGGTGGCGGATGACACGGGAGGAGCTGATGAACTGCTCGGTTCCCTCATTGACCTTGATGTTGTGCTCGCCCATACGCACCTCCACACGGCTAGAAAACAGAAACAGAATGACAGAAGATTAATCCTAAAGCCCATCATCAAATATTTATCTGTTTACCCCTAAGGAAGATAAATCAGACATTTAATCTTGGAAAACAAGAGGACTTTGCTTACGACTTGTAGCAGTGAGCAGCAGACACAACCCAGTTCTCGTTGACCAGGGAGCCTCCACAGAAGTGGTAGCCAGAGTTCAGAGACACCTGATGGGGCTGGGAGTAGGGTGTGCATTCATACCCTCCGACGATCTTGTCGTCCTCCGTGGCAACTGGAAACACGTTTGGCAACCAGTTAGTTGTTTACTTCGACTTTTTACCAGCAACAATGAAACGTCTTTGTATGCAAAATGTGATTTTTCCTTATTTTCAGCCAAAGCCCAAAGTTATTATGCATTGGGGTACTGAAACATAATTATGTTGCTGCCAAGACATGGATAAAGCTCTAGTCTGGGATAAAGACCAAGGTACTGTTAGCAGGAAGCAAGGCAATCTGCTCAGATTAAACTTCACACTTACAAGCAGCTCCGATGAGCAGAACGAAGACCAGAGACCTCATGGTTACTGTGTGATCCTGTCGATGAGAGACTTCACCTGGAGCCCTGGTTTATATCCACAGTCAGGAGAGCTGCCCTGCTGTCCAGCCATCCTCATTGGTCAGTGAGGAACCGGTCTCTGCAGCGGGATGTTGGGGCTGACTGATTCATTTCTAGAATTACACAAAACAAACATTTTTCACTGTAGGAGTAAGTACAGCTTTCTTATCAGTACATTTTGGAAAGTCATAAAGGAAAGTATGAATATCGGTCCTTCTGATCCTGTATTATTATGTTAGTTAACTTATCCATGTACATATTTATTACACCATAAATAAAAAAAAATCTTTCCATGATGTATGTCATCTGTATTAGTTTGAGTCTGTATGTAATCACTGTCTTTTTTAATACTATCATGAAAATATTAAATGTTCTAACTAGATAACTACAGCATCATAATGTGTTTCATTGTGGCCACATGAGACATGTTTCATTCAGTCAACACGCACAATGAAATTCGTTACTTTACAGATTACATCTCAGATAGATAGATTACATCTCCACATCAACAATGTTAAAGGGACTGATCATTTTAGTACATTGCAAGCAAACTCCTGGTTCATACTGAAGAAAAGGTGAATAGTGTTTATATGTGATGTTGAGCTGGGGCACTGTGCTTTTCTAATCCACTTCATTTATCTATAAACTATATTTAGTTTCTTATTAGTCTCTTGTTTTGGGAAAAAGTTTGAATCCACCACGTATTAGTTAAAAAGTTAGCTCGTGTTTCTCTGGTCAGATTTCACAGGTAAACAGGACACTTCTATAATTAGATGTGTATGAACACAGTGTCACAGCTGTGTGTTTCTCAGCACCTGTTACCTGAAAACTAAATTCAGATATGAGGGCCTGAGGCTGCCTTGAGAAACAAATCATTATCTTTGTAATATGTTTTACAAGGCACTTTCAACATCTAGAAAGCAATGGTGGAGAAAGTTATCGGATCCTTTCCTGAAGTAATAGTAGCGATGTCACACTTTGAAAATACTATGTTACAAGTAAAAGTCCTGCTTGAGTAGAAACACCAAAGTATTACCAGCAACATGTACTTCAGTTATTATCATTCATATTAACTCAGAGTGGCCCATTTCAGAGTTGAATTATAGAGCAGGACGATGTCCCAAAAGTGTTGTTGTGGGACAAGTTACAACATTATCATTCTTATTAGTACATGGTGACAGTCCCAGCGTAACTTTGCACAACTCCAACTAATGAGCAACAGAACTGAAAATTAAAGGCACAAAAAAAGTTCAGAAAACTTTCTATTCTCAGGGGATTTAACTCTTTCCACCTGTGTGGGTAAGTATAGCTTTTAATCTTTAATAATGTATCATGTTTTATAAGTTATTTTTGATGCATAATCATAACTGTCAAATAAATATAGTGAAGTAAAAATATAAAGTAATATAAATGTACTTAGCTACATTATAACAATTGGTAGAAAGCAGTTTATAACAAGAAAATGTAATTGTATCATAATTATAATAAAAAGAAACAGAAGTAGGTAAAATGCTACTGGGAGAAAAGAAATACACGGCAACAAGAACAAAATGAGTAAATGATTAGAGAACAGTGCAATGATACAAATATGTTTTGAGAAGTGACTTAAAAATGATATGGACTGTATATCAGCGTGATAATCCTCAGGCAAGAACATTCAGTATAACCATGACAATTTCAATACGGTCCTTACACTGTTTGGTGCTCGGGCCATAATGTTACTTTCTTCATATAATTCACATCTAAATGGAAAAATTCTACTTTTAACCACTACTAACTCATTTTTTTTTCCATTAGATTTTTTTTTTTTTTTTTTTTTTTTAAATCAGGGACAGTGTATAAAATTGAAATATCAATATTAAGAAATATTCATTTCAGGAAAATTGTTTTGTACCAGATTTAGCTACTTGCTAATTTCTAACCACAAATAAACTTATATGGCATTACCATTCAGCTGGGCTCAGAGTGAAAAAGTAATATTTTATATCTTTATATGCTGATACAAGCGGTGGTGATGTGATGGTTTATTTAAAAGTTTTTAAAACAGATACTTCTTGGAGGTCTGTGTCCTTAATATCAACTCGGAAGAAATGGATGAGTAAGAACCTAATCGCTTAATAACATATTTTAGATAAAATGGCCTGTGACCTTCTGAAGATCTCTATAGATTGTCTAAATAAGTAGCTTATGTTATGAAAATAATTTTAACAGAGAGAAAAAGAGTTCAAAGAATACACAGTACTTCATATGTATAACACTTTATTTTTGTACTTCTTCATCCCTAGCACAAAATATGCTATTTGAAGAATCAAAAATGTTGAGTTGTCCTCCTGATGTGGAGGTTCAACGGTGGTGTTAATTGCTGGCCATTGTGTTGTGCAGCCACTCAGTCTGGACACAGACCTGGAAATGGAAAGACATTAGTCAGTTTGTTGCATTAAACAGTCTAATATTTGCTATATGTTATATTTTCAATTGATGTTAAGAAATGTTACCTTGGAGTAGACACCAGGGTAGTTCTTCTCAGCACATCCATAGCCCCAGGACACAACACCCTGCAGCTCACCGTTGCACACAACAGGACCACCAGAGTCACCCTGAGGAGGAGAGAGAATTTCTGAAATTATAAACCTTCACATGGTCATGTTAATTAGACAGTAGTGACAAAATGTAGTCCACTCTGAAAATATAGTGATAGAATATAACAGAGATGCAAACCTGGCAGGAGTCCTTTCCTCCCTCCAGGTATCCAGCACAGAACATGGTGTTGTCAATCATGCCAGGGTAGGAATTGTTACAGTCCTCATAAGACAGGATGGGGATGTTCAGACACTGAAGCCTGTCACCGTCAGCAGCTGCAGCAAGAAAATGAAAGTAAAGTGTGATGTAGGGATGGATTGTTAGAGATTGCAGGCACATTCTTTTAAAAAGTACATTTAGACACAGTTTCAGAAATACTGGTAGATGTTACTCACTGGAGCTCATGGTGTTGCCCCAGCCAGAGACTGTGCACATGGTGCCAGCGGGGGCACAGCTGGTGGGCAGAGCCACAGGCTGCACATACTGGTTGAGGGTGGCGGGCTTGCTCAGCTTGATCAGCATGATGTCATTTTCAAGAGTGTAGCGGTTGTAGTAGGGGTTGCGGATCATACGGGAACCACTGATGAACTGCTCACTGCCCTCAGTGACTCCAATATGATGCTCTCCCATACGCACCTCAATACGACTGAAAGAGACAGCAGATGGGAGATTGATTGCTTGTTTTCCATGTTTGCATTTTTTCCCCCATCAGATGAATAAGTGAGGCCAAAATTTTCTAGAGTGGGCTTACGATTTGTAGCAGTGAGCAGCAGACACAACCCAGTTCTCGCTGACCAGGGAGCCTCCACAGAAGTGGTAGCCAGAGTTCAGAGACACCTGATAGCTCTGGGAATGAGGCGTGCACTCATACCCACCGACGATCTTGTCGTCCTCCGTGGCAACTGAAAGCAGATGCAAGACAGATAGAAATAGTTATTAGTTTGCTGCAGTGCTGTAAATATACAAATGTATATGAGACACGAAAGTCAATCTCCTTTACAAATACTGTACCACACTCACAGGCAGCTCCAATGAGCAGAACAAAAACCAGAGACCTCATGGCTGTAGTGTGATACTCTAAGTTCATCTGAATCCCTGTTTTATACCTAATCCGAGCTGCCTGATTGGTCCGATAATTGCCAAACAAAATAAAAACACAAAACTTGATAGTGAGGTACTGACCATCAGATATAGGCGGTTCATGCCAGGTGAATGACCCATAAGTCCAGGAGTCACAGGCTTGTGGTCCAATAATAATAATATGAATGGAACAGCTGGATTATTCACATCGTGCCTTTGCTTAAGGCCGAGTCATTGATCAGAAGAGTCAGCCAGCAATAAAAGATCTAATCTAGGAGTACAAGAAACTTCATTTACAACAAGCCTAACATAATAAGTGGCACGTAATGGGTAGTTCATCACACTGTTGTAATTGCTGTATGATATGACAATGTATTTGATTGCTACTGTACCAGACATTTAACTCACATGCAGCGATTGTGCAATTAAAAAAACAATTGAAACAGCATCATTTCATCTGTAAAAGTGAGGAAAGATCATATTAAAATCCAATCGTTAACTCACTGTATACAGTGGATTCTAAATAGCATTTGAATCTTCAGTCATGCAGCTGTTATCGTCACTAGTGTCCATGTGATTCATGCGTATTCATCATGTCAAACTGTGGAATCTTAATTGTAACATCTAAAAAAACAAAATCAAATATGCCTCAGGTTAACTCAAACATCACCAACAGCAGACCTGCAACAGTAGTTATAATTCTTCGTATTGATTATTATTTTTCAGTGTCAGTTGCAGTGAAACTCTGTTATAAAATGGCTGACTGCCAATGCTTTTTATTAGATTATACTTTTGAGGAGAACATGGAAGCGTCAAAAATGTCATTCATTTGACACTCAAACCCAATCCTGTATTTCACTGAGAAGTGCTCGTTTTTTTAAATATAGTAATTGTGTAATTGAGTGATTTAATGTCTTTGCGCTGTTCGTCTCTTGTCACTTCCCTGAGTCAACAGTTTTCAGGTGTTCTAATCTAAAGACACATGGGTTGGTTTTCCTGTGAAAGCCACATTCTGGCTGTGGCTGTGAACCAGGCCATCTGCAGAGCTGCAGCCATGTCTTCACAGCATAACTCCATCCATGTCAAGGTTAACCATTACAAATTACATCCTGTGCTAAATTCAGACTGTCCTGAAACAATCTTATATGGAATGTTTAGTTGTGAAAATAGTCACAGCATCAGAGTAAACTGGTTTATGCAGATACCAATAGAAATTGTAGTTTTTGTTCATCAGATAAGTTTGCTAATTTGAAGGGCATACAGCCAGTTATGTAATCAGAAGTCATCCATGTCATATGAATAATGATTTTTCATGTAAATCTAGAAATGTGCTACATTAAATTTAAAAACCATATTTGAATGCTTGTTTCTCCAGTACTCCTATTTTAAAATTGCATTCAAATTTCTTCCTAAAGGGTTTATAAATTATATAATTTAAGATACACGGCATATTAGTACACTCCACCCCACAACCAACAATGTATTTGCTTTGCCTGTAGCCAGAATTTTTTTTTCCAGGATCCTGATTGGTCAAAAATAACAGTGGGAGGAGTGTTCAGCAGGGAAAAGGGAGAGGTACCTCTGTATATAAACCAGGGCTCCAGGTGAAGTCTCTCATCTACAGGATCACACAGCAACCATGAGGTCTCTGGTTTTTGTTCTGCTCATCGGAGCTGCCTGTAAGCATATGTCTTTCTGCTTGTACTCATTGATTTTAATAAGTGAATTATAAAAACATTCACTTGGTTCCTGACTGTTCGGCCTCCTGTGTGTTTTCAGTTGCCACGGAGGACGACAAGATCGTCGGAGGGTATGAGTGCACACCCTACTCCCAGCCCCATCAGGTGTCTCTGAACTCTGGCTACCACTTCTGTGGAGGCTCCCTGGTCAACGAGAACTGGGTTGTGTCTGCTGCTCACTGCTACAAGTCGTATGTCACTCCTTAATATTACAAAGACAAAAGGTTTTTCAAGAATTAATGTGCTTTTAACTCGCATCATGAAATTCAGCTCCCAAACATCCTCTCGTTCTACTCCAGCCGTGTGGAGGTGCGTATGGGCGAGCACAACATCAAGGTCAATGAGGGAACCGAGCAGTTCATCAGCTCCTCCCGTGTCATCCGCCACCCCAACTACAGCTCCTACAACATCAACAATGACATCATGCTGATCAAACTGAGCAAGCCCGCCACCCTCAACCAGTATGTGCAGCCTGTGGCTCTGCCCACCAGCTGTGCCCCCGCTGGCACCATGTGCACAGTCTCTGGCTGGGGCAACACCATGAGCTCCTGTAAGTTACACCTGCATTTTAACTGCTAGGGCTACATGTTTTCTTTTCATTTGTGTTATTTAAAACCTTTTTCACCCATACTTTTAGCTGCTGACAGGAACAAGCTGCAGTGCCTGGACCTCCCCATCCTGTCCGATAAGGACTGTGATAACTCCTACCCTGGCATGATCACTGATGCCATGTTCTGCGCTGGATACCTGGAGGGAGGCAAGGACTCTTGCCAGGTATGTAACAAGAGGAATCTGCAGAGGTCCTTGTTCCTTGTTTTTTTTATTTATTTTATTTTATTTTTTTTAAATTGTTCTTATTCTCTCTCTCAGGGTGACTCTGGTGGCCCCGTCGTGTGCAACGGTGAGCTGCAGGGTGTTGTGTCCTGGGGCTATGGATGTGCTGAGAAGAACCACCCTGGTGTTTACACCAAGGTAAAACTATATTATTTACACTATACGTGATATGAATCTTTTGTTTCATATCGTTTGTTGCCGTCTGTCTTTGCTAACAAACCTTGTTTTGTCTCTTTTCACAGGTTTGCATCTTCAACGACTGGCTGGAGAGGACCATGGCTAGCTATTAAGTGTGATCCTGTGATCACCATCTCTGCTGCCTTTCTTCCATCATTCTAACTCCACTTTTGTTTTAGATTTTTGAATAATGTGCAGCCATTTTCCATCACAATCAATAAAGTCTTACAACTTGACTCTCAAATTTTGTTTCTCTTCACTTTATTGCCTGCGTTTTCCCACATCATGATAAACAATATTTAGAAATATGTAAAAGAAATACCACAGTATTACCAGCAAAATGTAATTCAATTATTAAAAGAAAGTGTGAAAGTACTTACTATGCAGAATGGCATGGTACATGGTGACCTCACGGTAGGCCCAGCATCGCTTTGCACATCTCCAACTAATGAACCACAAAACTGAAAATTGAAAAGACAAATAAAAGTGATTGGCAAGAGCTGTGACACTGTTTACACAAAAAAGTTAAGAAAACTTTTAAAGTGAAGGTGTGGACTGCCTGTCCACCTCAAGGTGCAACTGTCAGTCTTTACAGCTTGAGCTCTTGGTGTGGAGGTTAGTTTGCACACAGACTATTCTCAGTGGACTCATTTAATATATAATAATGCACCAGTTTATATTTATTTTTAATGTAAAATGATACCTATCAAATAAATGTAGTAAAGTAAAAAGTATAATATTTATATTTGAAATGTAGTGGGGTATAAATATAAAGTAATGTAAATGTACTTAGTTACACTACACCACCAGCAGATAGCACTTTGAAAAGGAAAATTTAATATCTTAAATGTATAGTAAAAAGGGACAAAAGTAGGTAAAAAAAAACAATAATGGAAGAGACTAATGACATCTATGCAAAAACAATACTAATATATTAATACGATAAATGTTATAGAAAAATTATTATAGAACAGCCTGATGATACATGTTTTGAGAAGTGACTAAAAATGATGCAGACCATATGTCAGCCTGATAACATATGGACTATAATTCAGAATAATATTACTTTTTGGTTGGATAGCAACAGGTAGGCCAGTGCTATAATCACGAATATCAGTGAGTGAGTGAGTGAGTGGGTGAGTGATCATAGTTGACTGATCATATTTCCACCATTGGTCAGCCGAATGCCACCTGACTGAGTTGGAGCTCCCCCATTGGTCGTTGCTCTTTCAAAATGAATTGGCACAAACACTTTCTATTAGGAGGGGCATTTACAGCCTGCAGTGTCGCCACCTTAGCACAAGTATTGTTCAATTTAAAGACTTTTTTTTTTTCCAAACAGTACTCGGTATACATCAGGTATATGACCTGGATTTCCCGGCTGCTCGGGAGCTGCAGGGAAACGGAGTAGTGCTTCCAATTCACTGAGCTTCACCTCCATTACGACAAATAAACTACTTTCATTACATGTATCATTATTACTAAAGGAGGAAGAGGAATACCAATACATTAGACACACAGAGCAGAGAGAGCAGGACAGTGGGAGAGAAAGAGAGAAACCATACTGCCTGCCAAGCAGATACTAGCAGATCTAGATAGCATGTAAGCAACTGAAAAAATCAGTAACCAGAAGAAATGAAGGGTTTGTGTTCAGTTTGCATTTTGGCCGTTTCTAAGTCATTTCTATTTTATCTTTAGTCAACAACATAAATAATAGAAATGTTTATTAAATGTTACTGTCCTTGAACATTGATAATTAAGGATCTAAAGATAAATATCTGAGTTTATGCTTTACTTATGGGTGTTCTGTCAATTTTAATGACACTAAAAACAGTAGTTCTCCAGTGTCCTGTTAGATTCAATATGAGGCATATGGTAAATTTGGAAAAACCATGGTCTCTGTACAATTTAATCACAGAAGATTATTTGTTAAACACATTTTCAATCACGACTGTAGTTATGAATACAATGAATGTACATGAGCTATACTACACTGTAAACTGCTTCAAAATCTAATTTTTAAATCGTCACTCAAGACTTGTGAGGCTAACACATAGGCCTACTCCTAAGTGGTAAAAGCAGGTCAAGTAAACGTTACTGTTAACCACATTTAAGTTACCTAAACGTTATGTTGACCTTAACTATCACGACGTCCTGATGGACATTTTATTAACTTTTATTAATGTACTGCATTGCACTAACGTGGTACATTAAAACGGCGTCACACCTTCCAGAAACACAAAACAAACGTCATTAGATTAACGTTGGCTAAATTGACCTTTTTATTGGGCTTGACTGAACACCCCCGCAGTCTATACTAAGATCAGGTTACCAGCCCAGCAGGGGCACGTACCGTTAGCATAGCAAATGCTAAGTTAACGCAAAGTTATCAGCAAACTCTGGCTCTGGCTAGATAGCTTCTAGTAAGGTGCATGCATAATTCCCCTTAACTGTGACATTAACGGGGATGCTAATTGTGGTTAGCGAAAAACAGGCTTAAAACAAAATGTACTTACCGGAAAAATTGAGCAACCGACTGAGAATGTCTTTCAGTACAACCAAACACTGAACAAGATATTTTAGGCAAACAAAACGTTACCACTAACTTTCATGAACTGAAAACATGTCATACCTCCAACACACAGCTCTGTGCTCTATGCTGATTGATAGGCAGGTCGCCTAGTGTGCTATGGTAGCCACACCCTAATACATACCCTGCTTTATATCTATTTTCCTCTGAATGGGACCATAATTTCATAAATGAACATAATGCTGTATTGAGGAAGAGTTTAAAGTAGTGACTGAGACCATAAACCCATTAGGAGAATGTTTACTGAGGTAATCAATATGTTATGGTCATTTCCCATAGACTTCTACACAATCAGACTTCTTCTGCAATCAGTGGAGTCGCCCACTGATGGTTATTAGAAAGAATACAGGTTTAAGGCACTTCTGCATTGGCTTCACTTTTCAGACCAGGAGTCTCCATTTTTATACAGTATGTCATAAATAGGTAGCCTAATGCAATAGCACGACAAACGGCAACAACTGAAAGATATAAATTAGAGATAAAGATCCTCCTTTAATACAAGCTTGTCTCAAATAAAGGTCTGTAACCTTTTGCAACTGAGGTAAATAAAGGCCCTGATCACTTTTTGAGGAAATACCTTACTTGAAAATTATTGTGGATCCCAGACTAAGGCTGTGCACTGTGCGAGAGACAGAAAGAATAAGAAAGATATTCTGCTGTTTCTAACTTTCTCTCTGAGCAATCATTTTACAAGCACATATAGCTGAGATCACAGCACAGCCTTTGTCTTTTCACACCTGACTGAGTTGGAGCTCCCCATTGGTCGTTGCTCTTTCAAATGAATTGGCACAAACACTTTCTATTAGGAGGGGCATTTACAGCCTGCAGTGTCGGCCACCTTAGCACAAGTGTTGTTCAATTTAAAAGACTTTTTTTTTTTCCAAACAGTACTCGGTATACATCAGGTATATGACCTGGATTTCCCGGCTGCTCGGGAGCTGCAGGGAAACGGAGTAGTGCTTCCAATTCACTGAGCTTCACCTCCATTACGACAAATAAACTACTTCATTACATGTATCATTATTACTAAAGGAGGAAGAGGAATACCAATACATTAGACACCACAGAGCAGAGAGAGCAGGACAGTGGGAGAGAAAGAGAGAAACCATACTGCCTGCCAAGCAGATACTAAGCAGATCTAGATAGCATGTAAGCAACTGAAAAATCAGTAACCAGAAAGAAATGAAGGGTTTTGTGTTCAGTTTGCATTTTGGCCGTTTCTAAGTCATTTCTATTTTATCTTTAGTCAACAACATAAATAATAGAAATGTTTATTAATGTTACTGTCCTTGAACATTGACAATTAAGGATCTAAAGATAAATATCTGAGTTTATGCTTTACTTATGGGTGTTCTGTCAATTTTAATGACATCTAAAACACTAGTTCACCAGTGTCCTGTTAGATTCAATATGAGGCATATTGGTAAATTTGGAAAAACCATGGTCTCTGTACAATTTAATCACAGTAGGATTATTTGTTAAACACATTTTCAATCACAATTACTGTAGTTATGAATAACACGAATGTACATGAGCTATACTACACTGTAAACTGCTTCAAAATCTAATTTTTAAATCGTCACTCAAGACTTGTGAGGCTAACACTTAGCCTACTACTAAGTGGTAACAGCAGGTCAAGTAAACGTTACTGTTAACACACATTTAAGTTACCTAAACGTTATGTTGACCTTAACTATACGACGTCCTGATGGACATTTTATTAACTTTTATTAATGTACTGCATTGCACTAACGTGGTACATTAAAACCGCGTCACACTACTTCCAGAAACACAAAACAAACGTCATTAGATTAACGTTGGCTAAATTGACCTTTTTATTGGGCTTGACTGAACACCCCCGCAGTCTATACTAAGATCAGGTTACCAGCCCCAGCAGGGGCACGTACCGTTAGCATAGCAAATGCTAAATTAACGCAAAGTTATCAGCAAACTCTGGCTCCTGGCTAAGATAGCTTCTAGAAGGTGTGTGCATAATTCCCCTTAACTGTGACATTAACGGGATGCTAATTGTGGTTAGCGAAAAACAGGCTTAACAAAATGTACTTACCGGAAAAATTGAGCAACCAACTGAGAATGTCTTTCAGTACAA